CTTGAGTGACTTTAGAAACTGTAAACGTAGTAAGTTATGCCTTTTGTCATAGAGTTTCCGTAAAACCCTCTCAGAAATGTCTTGTTTTTCATGGACACAAAAGGTGATGAGCAAAAAAAATAAACGATAAAAATTGCCCAAGGGGCTGAAATAATGCCTATTTCTTCGACTCCATCATTTTGACGAGCGCCTGATAGAAAATTAAAAAGTAGATCATAAAAACTATCAAAAATTGAAGTTTTGAGAAAAACAACAACATTTTGTTACATAATAGGCAAAAATAAAAGTTCAAGGGCAGGAAATCTGAAAGATGTTGATTGTAACAGAAACAGCAAGCATTTCTCTACAGGTCCTAACTGAGTGACCATTTCCACCCTTTACATCAAAGAAGGCCTTAAGGTCACTCTAACATTACTTCTGAGCCTTGTGCCAAACTTACGAAATGAGTTGATGTTGAGGAAATGTTCAATACAAAAAGCACTGTGCTCTTCACTAATCTTAACCATGATCTCAGCAGGCAAAAGGAAACTTGAGACAGACTATCTGCAAACTTCTGTTGGTCTGTTAGGCTACTGTAGCTTGCAACAGGGCGCAATCGTTAGGATATTTAGAGGTTGGCCTTATGCGAACTAGTGCGTCATGTTCCAAAAATTGGGACATGGCTGAAAATGGGTTGGTTTTTTTAAGCGCTATGTAGAGCGAAATTATTCTTTGGATTTATCTAAAATGATTATCAAACAAATTGTTTTTGACTTCCAAATGTTGTGTCCAAATTTGAATCGCTAAACTTCAGTGTGGAGGAAAATATTAACAGAAAAAGTTGTAAATTTTTATTTGGATCACCCTGTACTTACGTATACATACATGTGTTATTACTTGCTGCGTGTGGGTGGGTGGTGGGTGCTCTGGTGTCGTTTGCTCCTTCTTTCTTATCAAACCTAATATAATAGAATCGGGATTATGGGGGCCCTCGTGGCCTACAGGTTAAGGTGTTCGCCTCTCATTCAGATTCAATGGGTCCCGTGTTCGAATCCGGGTGGCGACGGAAAATTTTCTTCTCTAAAATTCTCTCCTTTCACATCCTTTCCTGCTCTCTAAAAATATTCTGTCGTCTGCTTTCGTTTCCACTTTCTACTCCAACCCCCTCACCTCCTTTGCCCCTTCCTCTGGGCTCCTATGACTCTCTTTGAAGCCTTTCTACTGCTACTCCTTGGCTCCTTCTTACTGCTGTATTTCAGCCACACCCCTGATCTTACGATAGGTAAGATCTACAACTAACCATCTCGCACAAGGGCGAAAAATCTCGGAGGTCTCGAGTGCAAGTTGCACATGTTAAGGATCCCTTGGTGGTCCAAAAATCGATAAAAGAGTAGGCTTCAGCAGCCACTAGGGAAAATTTCAACATTTCCTTCCTACGGAAAATGTTTGGTGTGTCTCGCGCTCTCATATGACCTTATGCAGTTGCGAGCGCCGTCAAACAATAACCCAAATAAAAAACAAAAACATGGACCATCCTTCCTCCCTACTTTTCTTTGCGTCTTCGTAAAAAACTTGAGAGATGAGGGAAAACCTGGCAGGACCGTGTCGTTTTCTTGCCTAGTAGTCCATTTCCTCCCAGCTTCCGGTCTACACAACTTGTTTACAAACATTTGATGTCGCGTGGGCTGTCACAGCAGAGTTGGAAAAGAGGAATTGTTCGGATAAATCCATCGAATTGATACCACTACACTATGCCTCTGAATGTAGTGTTTTGCTGTGGTCCGCCAAGGGTTGTTGATACAACGTACAAACTAAAAGGACACGAGTTATTGAAACAGTGGGATGCGAAGGTTAGTGGTACTACCACTGTACTGTGACTGGTAGAACTTTCAACTTTCACTTTACTTTAGCCTAATAAAGCCTAACGAAGTGACTATTCGGACTCGAGTCCGAATATGAAAAAATGTTATTCGGACTCTGATTCTTGTCCAGCATGACATCACTTCCGACTTCCGACTTCATGTGACTCGTGACTCCGGCTTCCTGTCCTGCCTCACTCGTGACTCGCCTCAGCCTCAGGCTGGGTAGAGACCGGGATCACTTCGGGCAAAATGGCGTTTTGTGCAGGCCACCTCTATTCTCATCCGGAGTGAGAATAGTGCAGGCGAGTCTTGTGGCTATTCTCACCCGGTGTGCGTTCACCAAATTTTGCGTTCACCCTAAACCATAGAATTCTACACTGTGAGGAAAAATTGTAGAATTCTGTGCCGTGAACAAACGTTCCATTACAACTGTAGCCTACTAAAAGCGTACTATTTTGTCTGTGGGCAGTGGAAAGAGAGAGAGGAGTAGCGCGAGAATTTCCGGGCAAAACAAAATGGCGACCCGCGTAGTTCGGCTCGATTCGAAAAGTTAAATAGTCGTAGCATCTTTGTAGACAACCAAATTAATTTACTTTTGTGTTTTAACATCATTTTTAAACTTTTTTTTGGTCAATTTGATCGTCCACACCGATAGACAGTATTCAGAAAGAGACAGAGAGAGAAAGAAGAGGGGAGGAGTTGATCTTGCGAGAACTTCCGGGCGGGTGAGAATAGCCACTTTCTTTTGTGCAGGAGCCGAGTTTTTATCTTATGATGAATTTGAGGCCGGCCTGAAAAGTTATAGCGCTTCTAATAAATGCTTATTTGTCAAGAGGTCATCAGAAGCAATTAAAGATGGCTCGTTAGCATGTGTCGGGGTCGGATGGGCGGCCTGCACACGTGTGGCTGTGTGCGTGTCAGGGAGTGGGGGCAGTATAGGTCCGGGCGTTGAACGTCGCATACGCGTCAGTCTTTTTTCCCCCCGGCAACTGATCATTATTACAATAATAAGCTAATCTTGACGTAGATCTACGTAATGAATTGTGCGCTGGTCTATGGAATCAAAAGTTGCCGTATGCTCAGCTCTACACAGCAACACAACTTTTTCTTGGTAAACAATCGAGATGACACAGGCTTGATGTGTATTTGAACGAATTGGTCTTTTTTTTTTAACACAGCTCATAATATGCAGGTGCCAGGTGGTCCGCTGATCTTCAATTTTACCTTTTTCTACAACAAAGAAAGTGGGAAACGTGGGGGGGGCATATCAATAAGGCGGCGGGCATCGGATCGGCAGAAAAGGTATGGGGGAAACTAAAACATGGCGGAAAATTGGAAGCACTGAACACATTAGACAGATCTATAGAACGAAGACACTTCCTTTTTTCCGGACCCGAGTCCGAATAACATTTTTTCATATTCGGACTCGAGTCCGAATAAGAAATTTTTTTATTCGGACTCGAGTCCAAATATGAAAAAATGTTATTTGGACTCGAGTCCGAATAACGACGGCCAAAGCCTAGACTAAAGGCTAAAGAAAGGCTACGTCGTGTAGATTCTAGTCTACTGTCGTACAATATAAAACCATTGATTGATTTTGATCTCTAGGCCGTGAATGTTCTTTTTCATCTGTAGCCAGCGGTTAAAGTCAAAAATGCGGTTTGACTATGTCCACTTCTGCCCTAAGCTCAGTAATAATTTATTTAACTGGTCTCTTTGAACATTATTAGAAGACCACCACTAGATCTAGATCTAGACTAGATTTACTCAGGTAGAAGGGGGGGGGGGGGGTCACCCTGCTAAAGTCACAAAAATAATAGAGGCCTAGTTTTTACTTTTAGTGCCAAAAAAAGTATTCCCGGTAGATCTAGGTGGTCTGCTAATCTTCAATCGAATTTCCATCTTCAATTTTACCGAATGAATTTCCGGGAAAAGAGACTCGGCAATTGCCAAAAAGTAATTTGATCATGAAGTCGTCATAAAGGAATGCGCTAAGCCGCTGTCAGTGGCTCGGAGGTTCCGACCGCGAGCCGCTGGAAGCGGCTTGCCGGAGATGAAGAGTTAAGTAAGGGTATTTGTTTCATGATGCAGAGTGGTAGAATCTATCTGGCGCTTGTCAATTTTTGGGCATGACTATGTATGGAATTATAAGTATCGTTGTGTCGTAAGGCGTAACACAAGGCTTGTCACTGTCATTTATAATTGTCTTTTGTTTGGCGGCAAAAAATACACACCCGTCTTTCTTGAATAGAAAAGTCGAAATAGCGATGAACGGAGGTGGGGGTCGCCTGGTGTTGGAGGTAAATTTAGAGAGATAATGGCTGAGAAAAAAGTTGAAGCTGTCTTTAAGCGTGCAGGACGATTCATGTTACTTGAGTTTGAGGGTTGGTAGTGAAGGATGGTCCCAAGAGTCACATGGTATACTAAACAGAACTCTTTGTGGTTATACTGCAGGTTATGGTGAATTGTTTTAGTCCGTTTTTTGTAAGGAGTGTATCGTGCTATTTTGCCCTAAAGTGGGTGGTTGATGGGTGCGCTATAGTGTGGTATCATGTAATGCTCTTTCTTTTCTATCAAACGTCTATCGTCCTTTAAATCTCCCCTCTTTCTTTTCTATCAAACATCTATCGTCCTTTAAATCTCCCCTCTTTCTTTTCTATCAAACATCTATCGTCCTTTAAATCTCCCCTCTTTCTTTTCTATCAAACATCTATCGTCCTTTAAATCTCCCCTCTTTCTTTTCTATCAAACATCTATTGTCCTTTAAATCTCCCCTCTTTCTTTTCTATCAAACATCTATCGTCCTTTAAATCTCCCCTCTTTCTTTTCTTTGTATGTTACTCTCATAAAACTGTCTTGTGACACCTCTAATATTTGGCACTTATATGAGCTGTCTGTGTTGCTAGTGCCATAAAACTCTTACTAAAACTTAACATCACGTAATACAGTTTGTGTTTTGACCTTTTTCCACAAAAGCAAAGTGATGGAAGTGGATTTTACATCTTGTGCAATGGACGGAAGGTTGATGAGAACAGTCTCCTGGATGATGAGAAGACTTACCACATTGTCCCGCGAGTCTTGGGAGGAAAAGGAGGTGAGTGGACCATGCCTCGTTCTCTATCCAAGAATCAAAGAACCTCAGCTTCCAGACAAAGGCCGCCAGTTTTTGTCAAGAGTTTACAAATAAATTTTCTCTATATGTATTGGGGAGTATTGAATGCTTGTAGATTTTTTTGTGTGTGTAAATTTGGGCCTTTGAAAATGTTTTTGATGGAAACATGTTTTTAAGGGAGTGTCATTTGAAACAAAAAAAATCATTTTTTTAATGTGCTTTTTAAAAAAAGTATTTATTTGGTCAGTTTGAAAAAATTGTCTTTTTAAAAAATAAAATAGGGGATAGCGTTTAAATCAGCCTTGAGAGTGAGACACTTTGTGTGCTTTGAGAGTTTTTTGTCGTCGTCTTCAATTTTTTGGTACTATTTTCCTCAGGCTTTGGATCCATGCTCAGAGCTATTGGTGCCCAAATCGAAAAGACAACGAGCAGAGAGGCTTGCCGGGATCTCAGCGGCCGTCGGATGAGGGATATCAACAATGAAAAAAAGTGAGTAGCCTCGACTGTTGGTACAATTTGTTGCTGGCTAATTTTACCTCTGGAACCTGGCCACCCCGTCTCCTTCAGTCTCAAACATCTCCACTTCTATTCAAGATAAACTGATTTTTTTGTTGTTGCGAAAACAAGGCAAATGAACAACCTTTATGATAAAACACCAATAACTCCATATGTTCCAAAATTGACGAGCGCCTGATTCCACCATGTCGTGACACATTTTATTACCTTTCAAATGATACGGAATGTGTAAATATATTTGTGTAAAGCTTGTTTGTGTTTGTGTGTAGAAGATGTCACCCCCTCAAAACCTGGGCCCTTTCAGAAATTAATTCCGGCGAACAGGGGGGAAAAATTACAAGGGGAAAAGATTCGACATCACATCTTGTGTTGTGTTTGATTCTTTTGTGAACAAAGAACAGCTTTGGAAGTGAAATCGAAGTCTCCGCTCGGTTTAGTTCTATTTGTGACATCTTTGTTTGAAAAATCCATCGTGTTATATGTAGGCCTATATATATAAATTCTGTAAACTCTCAATGGAAATTTTAGTTATCATATTGCTGGGAGACTTCACATTAGCCCTCTAATGGCAGTATCCTAGAATTGCAGATTGTGCGTTGAACCAACAAAAAAAAAAAAAACAACCAAAAATACCATGTGCTCCCTTCCAGATTGAAGGAGTGGTTGGCCAAAGAGGCAGAACGAGAGAAGGAGAAGGAAGAGCGCCGACAGGAGCGCCTGGCACGCCACCTGAATCGTGGACAGCACAAGTTTGACGACCCCGAGTACCACGAGCAGCGCGCCAAGGTGCAGGAGGATCTGCAGGACGCCTTGCACACCGGTGGGTATATATACGGCTCCTTCATATATATATATATATATATATATATACACAGGACCCCTTGCACACCGGTGGGTATATATACGGCTCCTTCATATATATATATATATATATATATATACACAGGACCCCTTGCACACCGGTGGGTATATATACGGCTCCTTCATATATATATATACACACACAGGACGCCTTGCACACCGGTGGGTATATATACGGCTCCTTCATATATATATATATATATATACACACAGGACGCCTTGCACACTGGTGGATACAGGGTTCCTTGATATATAAAATATATATATATACACACACACAGGACGCCTTGCACACCGGTGGGTATATACACGGTTCCTATATATATATATATCGGCTATATATAGGCTATATATATTTAAAGGTAACCAGGAACGGCAAATTTTGCCAACTTCCGTGACGTTCATGGTATAGCATAAAGCTAAAAATGTACACATTTTCCTGGCGTAGCAGGTACATCATAAGGTAACATACCAGGTAGGCCTACATCATAAGGTAACGTAGCAGGTAGGCCTACATCATAAGGTATCGAAGGGGTGAAAAAAATGGTTGAGGTTCTTCTTGCCATCTGTTCTTTGCTGCAATACGCTAGGCTATTTAGCAATGCCCACCGAGCGCATTTTGTTCTGCCGATTTTTGGCCCCCGCAGCGGGGGTGTTTCATGGGATGCACTAACGCAAAGGTTGTTGTCTTCCACTCGCTCTCACGCCGCTTCTCGTGAATGGATATGAATGAAACTTGGCAGCCAATCAGAAAAGAGGTCAATCTCGTAGTATGCAGTTTGACAACATTGTACCCATCCTAGAAGCAGTCGAAAACGTTTGCGAAAGTGGTTGATGTGGTGCGCTTTGAAGGTTTTTCGGAGCTGTGATTTGTCAAACTGACTGATACGTTGTACACCATTTTTCTTTATTCCCTTAAAATTTCATGCTTCTGTGTTTAGCGGTTTTAGCGTAATCTTTAAAAATGTGGGAGTAACTAAGGAAAAAAGCGACATTGCCATTTACGCGTGCTGGGTGAACGGCCGGCGGCGTGGAAATTTCCACTGAGTGACGTCATCAGCCATCGGTCGCCTCGGGCTCTACAAACGAGGCCCCGCTTATGTGAAATGGAAAGGGGGGGAAGGATACTTGAAAACTAAACGGGGGCCTTGATAACTTGCGTTTTTGTTGCATTTTAGTCACAATACAATAGATGTAGTCATTTTTATTTGCTTGATTACATGACAGAAGAATAGAAACAGAAAAGCAAACATTTTGAGAAGTGGTATGGCATTGTGTTTGCGTTATGAAAGCCTATTCCCCCCTCTTGGGAAAGCACACACTTGGACTCGTCCTGTGTGCTCTGTTTGGGAAAAGTGAGGCATTAAGATTGTTATTAAAGAGTATGGTACTTATTTAGTCCAGTCTGGGAAGATAGTCCCGTTTATACATTGTTATCGTTCACGCGTGAGGGAGAGAGAGAGAGAGAGAGAGAAAGAGAGAGAGAGAGAGAGAGAGAAGGGGGGGGGTGTAAATATGTTACATTTATTGTATGAGTTGTAGCCTACACATGCGAAATATTCCCATGACTTGTAAACTATATTATCTGAACGCATCTTAATCTACCACACAATAGGACACTGTCCAACAATGGATATACACAAAGACGATCTTATTTTCTATAACAAAGTATGCATGCTTTTACTAGTACAAAACTGGATTTATTAGTAGCTCTCTACTTACATTTTTGTGACAAATTGATCCAGAATATTGCTTGGCAAGGAAGAACCTTTTATGTTGCCAAGTTTCATTCAAATATCATGACTTTGGGAGAACATATGACTGATAATCTTTGTAAATCTGTAAAGAACGCCACTTTTTTACCTGTTAATGTCTTTACAACTCAAAAAGTATGACAGATATTAAAAATCTGACTGCATGACTAAATTCTGCATTAAAAAATGTACTAGACTGCCAAGTTTCATTTACATATTCCAAGAAATAGGCGAGCTATGACAAATATTGTCTCAAAACGCACCGAAAAAGGCCAACATTTTTACCTATAAACGTCTTCATAACTCAAAAAATAGGATAGCTATGAAAAATCTGAAAGCAGGACTAGATTCTGCACTAGAAAATGTACTGGGTTGCCAAGTTTCTTTTAAATACTCAGAGAAATGAGCGAGTTATGACGAATATTGTCTCAAAACTCACCAAAGAACGTCCCATATTTTGGGGGTTTTTCATTATATAAAAGTGTACCAGAAATTAATTGATTAAAAAATCCGTAACTTTTTTGTTTATTGATGGATTTTAAAAATTCAAAAAGTTCTATGCTCAGTGAAGATAAAGCTACAAAATGCACCTATTTGCAAACATTTTCTGGCAAAAAAAGGATTTTCGTGGTCATTGCTAGGCTATTGTCTGTGGTAGGGACGAGAAGAAGAAGTTGACTCCGGAGCTCCTGTAATTGGGGACATCTGAAGAACAGATGGTAGACAGTTCCACTGACCTGGTCAGAAAAGGTTGGGAAACTCATCCGATCATCAGGGATTTTTCTCGTTCTGAAGATAATTGCTCGCTCTGGGTGTGACAGCTCAAGGTTTCGTAGTTATCTGGTGTCTGCAGTCCTTTAAATAGCGTTTTTACGAGAGTTTTCTCTTCTGTGTAGTTAATACTGTTGTCTGGGTGCTCTTTCTGTGCACCTAGTTGTGGAAATGATTTGTATAATTTATCATTTCTGTTCTCTCCTAGGTTTGAAAAGAGCCCATAAAAAAGGAGAATCCAGCTCATCAGGGCCTGCCAAGAAGTCGAAGGTTTCTAAGAGCTCCAAGGAATGGTAAGTTGTTAGTTGCTGATTCTCCAAAGCCTCTCTATATATAGTGGTAGTTGAGTCATCACAGGGGGATTTTGACGTTATTTCACGATCTGAGCCCTGGGTCCTCTAGTTGAAGGATTTTGGTGTTATTTCACGATCTGTATCTGAGAGAGTCAGGAGAGGGGCGCTGAACCCATACACTTACACCGTTTCCAAGAAATAGGCCTGGGCCTTCTAGTGGAAGGATTTGATTGAGACAAACGTCTGTCAAAGCCGACAGCACGAGCTGCTGCTGTCTGAGCCAAGTTGTGCTTGTGATCAGGTCAACAGGTAAATTTTCTTGCTTTTATTTCCTTTATTTCACTGTCTTTACCTTGTTAACTACGAGTAACTGCCCTTGAATTTCTCTTCTGCCGTGGATGTGGAAGGACACCATCAGTTCATGAAGGAGAAAATTATTAAATAAAAAAAAAAAAATTTTGTATTATTGAAGCCAACCTCATTTTTGTACTTTTATCAGTCCCCATCGTTTTATGCAAGAAAAAAATTCTGAAATTACACAAACTGAGCCCATTAACAAAGAATGATAAAGGAAAATAATCAGAAATTATACAAAAAATGATCAAATTTTGCTAAATTATGCGGGGTGCATAAAACCACGGGGACAGTTTTATTAAGAGCATCAGGAATTACCATGTCGATTATTGAAAGCAAAATTGTCTCGGGCATCAAAATTGACACTTTCAAATTCGGGAAATAGGACTGCCCACCACAGTAAGATTGTCTACATGTCTACATACGCTGTGGCACCAAATTCTACAACTTTTATTTACTGATGATAGTGTAAAATTCTACAACTTTTATTTTTACTGA